GTACAATGCAAATCTGATAGCGCTCTCTTTACCATTTGAAACCCGACGCTCCACACATCTAAATTGGAAACACTGTAGATATATCTCCGTTATACGCTGGAAATGCATTAATCTACGCTCGTCCTATTCAGGTGACGAATGTTGAAAATTGAATTACCTGTTTATATACTGTGCGACACGTTAACAGTGATAGTTCGACATGTATTTTTGAATGCGAAGTATGTTCCTTTATGTTCCAATGTGACAATAAATGCGACGAAATTCCGACTATATCATGAACAGGTGTTTACAAATCACTATCAAATAGTAATAATGGCAAGTGTTCGTGAAAAGAGTGAGACAAATACATTTATATGGTAACTGTGACTGTAAATATATTCCATTTGAAGTACACAAAAAAGACGTAAAACGTGCCTTATTCATATTTCCAACGGGAATCCTGGTAATATAAATTGTCTACATTTAACAGAATGCGGTGTTTGTACGTTCTGGAATGCAATCCGGATATAACGCAATAATCTCAGTCACTCCCCACTCGTTTTGAAGCATGACAATTGCTGCCAATGGAGACATGTATCAACCGTGTGAAGAATTCATAATTGTGCAGGGCACAAAAACGTTGTTTAATATTTAATGCAGTTTGTAATTGGGAATAGTAACATGTACACATCAGTTGTTCAGTTGCAAGCGTTTTCGAATTCGCTTTTGCTTTTTTTGTTATTAAAGAATTTAAAGTTGTGTTTTTCATAACAACGTGTCAAACCCCTCCAACATTCAATCGTTTTTGTCCAATGATGATAATTGTAAAAATCAAACATTGCTGTTTTGAACATGAAAATGATTGAAATATTTTTTTTCTCCAATTTTGCAAGCCAAGTTAATAATTTACACATGAGTGAGTGAGTTGGGTTTAACGCCGCTTTTAACAGTATTCCAGTCATATCACGGCGTGTCAGCTAAATGTGGAAGGAAAGCCCGAAGTGATGCAGGTCTCAAACGTTTACCACTTCGGTGAAACCCACGAGCACGGGTTTGGTGCTGACAAACCTGGAAACATTATTGGGGCGAACCGGGATTCGAAGCCACAATCATAGGTTTCTGCCGTGCCTAAGGGACGCAACTCTGCACAGCGGATCGCGGCGCCTTAGAGGACAGGGCCACCCGTGCCCCCAATTTACACAAGAGGACACATTGGTCTTGACCGTTTAGTGCATCTGGCATTATCTAAAAAGTAATTGTAGTGGAGAACGGTTACATAGAAAACGATAAACATCCCCGTGAATCGATATTATATGATACCATTCATTGGAATAGCTGATATCAGCTGTAACGATATCTGATAGGTCTATTGAAACTCTCATGTACGGCTTATCTTGTCCAGTCGTCCCCGACACCACGTACATCTCGCAGTGCAACGTTGCAACCATCGATAGCGAATTACAGATTTACCTCCATTTACCGTGGGGATGACTGATGGTGACGCATCTAGTAGTGGCAGTAGTAGTGGTAATAGACCCATTTACAGCCTTAGACGTTCCAGGTCAACAAACCTGATCTTGTCCTTTTTGATAAATCCAATGAAATCAGTTATATCATTGAATTTTCTGTCCCCTTTGAAAACAAATGTGATTGACAAGATTGAGGAAAAACATGGCAAATATAAAGTTGTTTCTTTCGCTATGCTTCAATTCATAGGAAACAAATGTAAGTATTTATGTACGTGGTTGTCTCACGATGTTTGTAAGACCTAGCACAGTATCCCCATGATGACTTGAATGGTATTATTCAGACTCATTTGAGTGAACTTTCATGTAGGACTCACTTCATCTTCCCGAGGCAAGAGAGTTAATTGACTTTAAAAGTCCAGTTTCCACCCTTGCCGAACTAGGCTGAAATAACTGGGGTCGATCGTAGCGCCACCAGTGGTTATTACCAGTTACATCCCTTTTAAACATCTCCTATGGACCAATCAGATTCAACCTTCCGTATCACTTGCGTTTGCTTCACACAAAATGGTGGCGCCCAGTCAGGACGATCTGATCAATAATCAGGATCTATATTGTGATGAAACGGGTCTTACATCGGGAAATGCATCAAATCACGTGAGCACCTTGATTAAAATCATGAAAAGATTTGGAAAATATCTGATGACAACGAGTTGGCGTTGCATATGCTTTGCAAATCCTGCAATCGACCTAAATCTGCACAGTTTACGAACCGGATTTCGATTTCGTTGCGCGATTTTGATTGGACTATGCATAGACTCGTTAGTCCAGCCAAAATGTAACCCCATAATACCAGCGTAATTCGGCAAGGGTGGAAACTGGACTTACAGTCAGTTAACTCTCTTGCCTCGGGAAGATGGACTCACTTTGTCGTCGTCTTGGAAGAGATGTGAAGTTTGTATGCAGTGTCACAACAAAAATACCAGCTGTTTTAACAATGCAATACCTTTTGCAATATTGCGGAAATCTTTTTAAACGTCCCAGGCACGCTCCCATATTTTCTTATTTCACTATTACTAGACATAGAGCTTAACATGGGTCCATGACAAAATGACATCCTATTCGTACGCCAAAATCTCCAACATCGAGTCATATTTATCCCCCATCTGGACACTAAGATTATCTCCATTAAATGTTTAGTAGTATACAGTAATGCGTTTTCAGCTCAGCGATATGTTTGACAACCTTCAGGAGTTCATATAACGATAATGCGATCACTTACAAATACTGCAATGTCAGCACAAATTGTTTCACCGTGTACAACAGTGAGCCCCAATTACGTTTCTTTGTTTGTCAGCACCAGTGCTCTTGGGTTTCAACGAAGTGGTAAACGGCAAAAGACCTACACTACTTGAAGATTTCCTCCCACGTCAAGCTAACATGCCGTGATATAACTGAAATACTGTTAAAATCGGCGAAAACTCATCAAGGATTCGTGAGATACTTCTTTGCAATCTGCGAGCGGTCGTGTACGTTGTAAGTTAATTTACCTCTCTTTATTGAGTTCTAAAAAATCATCAGAAAAAACGAACTGCCTTTTTTTTTTATCAATATAGCAAGTATTATTAATAATTCTTACAGCAGAGTATGTAACATGTGATGCTCATCATAAAAGCACAATTTTCGGTGCATTTTGAAAACATGTCATTTGTACATTAGGAAGATATATATATATGCTTCTCCGTGCCACCAATCCCCTTTAAGCTGATGCAGAAATCTAAGCTATGTGTCGCAGTTTATGTTTCATACTGCGCAGTTAAAAAACATTGCGTGGTGAGTAATTCCGTTATAGGTCATCCCTGCTAGAGTCTATTGTGCTATATAATGGTTGAAAGTTAACAAGATATCTGATTTATATCTCAAGAAATATGTGCACGTGTTTGTATCATACCTTATGTAAGTTCAGGAATATGTACATCCTTCCTTGTGGAGTATTCACAACTAAAGATGTTTTCCACACAACTCAAGTTATTAACATATCCTGTCTTCAATGATGTTTGTGTTATAATGACCCTATGTGAAGACATACAGATGGAGCTTTAAAAAGCAATATATATTCACCCAGTCCACTTGGAACTCATGAGTTCAACCAACGTTGATGTACGCCATATTCATAATTTGTAGTTTATGTTGTACATATATGAAGTAAACAGATGAGGAAAATAAGGAGCAATGTTACACATATTTTATTGAACTACTATTGGTTCTTCGTTAATGGATAGCGATAACGCTAGAGTTGTATCTTCGGCTTGTGTAAGAAGACTCTCAGTAGTAACCGTACCCCATACCTGAAAGAGAACACATAATACACATGTTAGTGGGATCAAATCAAGATGTGTTCCTTTCATTTAACGTGGGTTCAATTTGGTGTTAATCTATGTTGATGGATTAACGCCAAAAATGATATTAATCAGATAACCTACCAATTCCTTTGCCAAGTCCAATTCCTCCTCCTATTCCACCATACAGTCCTTCCATTCTACCATACAGTCCTCCCATGCCTCCGTACAGACCTCCCATGCCTCCGTACAGACCTCCCATGCCTCCGTACAGACCTCCCATACCTCCGTACAGGCCTCCCATACCATAGCCGCCATAGCCAAGGCCACCAAGGCCACCAAGGCCACCAAGGCCTCCGTACATGCCCATTCCGTAGCCAATGGGTTTGGCGTAGGTAGCAACAGCCAGACAGGCAACAAGGACGACGATAATCTTCATCATTTTAAATAGCTGTCATAAAGAAATATTTTGAATTAGCGATACATTTAAACAACCAGGTTAATGTATTTGCAAAACGGTAATTCATCCATACTCCGATTACAAAGGTATTATCAATTCAAATTATTATATATGTATTTTGTTTCTACGTTATTATTTTGTTGTTGTTGTTTAACGCCGCATTCAGCAATATTCCAGCTGTATGACGGCTGTCTGTAATAATGGAGTCTGGACCCGACAATCCAGTGATTGACATCATGAGCATCGATCCACTCAATTGGGAAACGATGACATGCATCAAACAAGTCAGCAAGCCTGACCACCCGATCCCGTTAGTCGCCTCAAGCATACACGCCTTTTACGGCAAGTGTATTCTGCTCCGGATCGTCACGGCGGATAATGCACATATACACTATTTGAATGACTGAGAGGGTAAACATTCACGTGATTCATATATTTATAATACATGTTCATTAATCAGTAATGATATATTGGAAGTTACGCTTGAATGTTTCTTCACATTATCTCCGAATATGGAACATTTGGCGAATATCGAAGCCATGTGGTCACTCACCACACTCACGTATATATACCTTGTGTATTATGTATTACCTGTGATTGATTAGCCTGGGAATGGCTACTTCCGGGTGGGATCAATGACAACCGCCAATTAACTCTTCCGGAACAAGTAAAGGCGACATAAAATTACCAATTAACATGTGTTTTATCCTTGGGGCTTAAATGTGAGTAGTATTGGGTAACTGTACAAGGAAGAGTGGACATTGCGCCAGCGGGGTTAGACATTCCCGCAATCCCCGGCCTATATAAGAACACAGAAAAAGGCCGTAATCACCAGTTTCGCACAGCTCCATAGTGACAAAGGTTAGTTGACTTGAATTCACATGATTTGTTTAAATTAATGAAGTCGAATTTGTAAATGTATTAAAATGTCAATAAACGAAGGCAAATACTGTTAATTACATTTCTACCTCATGGAATTGAAATCTATTCAAAGATTATTTGTTTTACAATAATCGTATTTCAAATAGAATCACTTGATGGTATTAATGTAACGAAATTAAGAAAGTATGTATTCTTTCATGGCAGCTACTGAAAATGATGAAGATTATCGTCGTCCTTGTTGCCTGTCTGGCTGTTGCTGCCTACGCCAAACCCACTGGCTACGGTATTGGCATGTACGGAGGCCTTGGTGGCCTTGGTGGCCTTGGTGGCCTTGGCTATGGTGGCTATGGAATGGGAGGCCTGTACGGAGGCATGGGAGGTCTGTACGGAGGCATGGGAGGCTTTGGCCATGGTGGCCTGGGAGGTCTGTACGGAGGTATGGGTCTTTACGGAGGCTTGGGAGGCCTGTACGGAGGAATAGGAGGCCTGTACGGCGGCATGTATGGAGGAAAATACGGTGGCATGTACGGAGGAATTGGACTTGGCAAAGGAATTGGTACGTTTTCAATGTAATATAATTATGTTAACATGGCATTATGAGACATGTATGGTTGCATGAACATTTAATAGACTTGTGTCATTTTTGCATATTGATCTGCTAATTTCAGTAACATGTAATCTGTCTGTAGGTTTGGAGATGGGGGGTGAGGTTTAGGGGAGTGGGGGTGGGAGTAGGGGGTTTGGGTGGGGGTGACTTGAGTTTTGTTCGCAATCTTCTACTCTCAATACATACAATGATTACCGTTGTTGCCTGTCTGACTGTTGCTACCTACGACAAACCCATTGGCTTCGGTTTGGACGTTCACGGAGGCCTTGGTGGCCTTGGCTATGGAGGCTAAGGAGGAATAAGCCTTTATCGAGGCGTGGGAGGCATGCATTGAGGCATGTGTGTGTGTTGATCTGATGATAGGTAAATTGCGAGGAATGATCCCACTGTATGGTGGAACGGGATATGTGAAGGTAAGGGTCTTTTCTGCATATTGATTTGCTAAATGTGAGTAACATATACAAAGAACATATATGGCATGCTGGGGTAGTACAGTAACCATGTCACTGACTCTGGCCAGATACAAGTAATATTTCTCTCTTTCTAATTTCGCCACAGTTCTATTTAAATAGCGAAACGAAGCGATCGTGATGTCAACCAAGCGAAACAAGTATCACAATAACATGCTTACATGTGTTCAATTCACATGCCTTTCAGGACTGTTGTCAGATGATCATATTTGAAAATCACTTTTATGGTTTAAGTGTTTCTTTTATATTTCATTCCTCCAACATCATATTGACATAAACATCACATTCGAACTTTGTTTCATTGCTGTTGTGGTTTTTGTGTCGTAGCAGTTATGAGCATGTTAGTGAACACTTCAGCCATATAGTGACAATCCAATCTTTCAAGGCACTGTTATGACACATTATTGATGAAATCACATCCATCGATGTACGTCGGTCCTACGACAAGCACGAGGAACTTATAATTGGGAACTAATTTTGACCGGGAATCCCCATCGAATCGAAGGAAAAACAAGCAAGGACCATGAGTTTTGTATTGTTCTTTTTAAACTTGATAAAATACTTCACATTACGGGAGCAATCTACAATACAGGGCTGAACCTTCCTTGCTATCAACGTAGTTATTCCAAGGCGAGTACATGATTTGTTTTGATTAATAGTTGCAATTTACACTATTGTTGGTTAGACAATTGCATACGCATCCCTTTATTTATATAGAATGTATTTTTACTTCAGGTATGGGATACTATTGAGGTTGGTGAGACGGCGCCTCAGATCTGCAACAGCTTCAGCGCTGATCAAACAAACCTCTCAATGCTTCACGGAAGACAAATACTTTCTTCTCGGATCAATAAAAGTCATTTCTACAATGCTTATTATTTTGTTGTTAGTTTCCAGTGATCCAATCATATAATTGTGACCCTTATTTTGCCTTTTACGCCTAATATAATGTGTTTCAGTAGATAATCGAGAATAATTATCATCTGGCGTTGACGTATTATATGTCACCCAAATCACTCACTGTAAGTTGGAGGCCAATTTGCATATTGTTTGTCTTGATACTGTCCAGCATTAGAGAAATACTTACTTCCTTACCAAGTATCATATCGACACAAATTCTGATCAACGTTTACCATAAACATTTCACCCTTTGCTGTAACGCCTCAAACCAATTGAAGACCCTGGTTTCCATATATGGAATCAGGCCATGGTCACGCGTTGCTCTCATCATACTCTCATTTGGTACCGTTTGGAGCATGCTATGGCAATCCGCTTCATAGCTATATTTTAGGCATGACCTGAATTCAGATTTAAAAGACTTTGTATTGTGAATATACTGCTGTTCCCAAATATACCCGAAACCAAAGCTAAACAGGATATATTTACAATCTGAAACCAGTTGCTTTTGCCTTTATTAGATGCCTGTAACATCATATTGTAACACTTTTTGTGGATAACGGGTGTCAGGCATAGAAATAAGCGTCAGCCCGTAACTAATACATATTGTGTAAGCATAAATAGATACATGTAATGGATGTCGGCCGCACTCTTCACTAACGATGTGGTTAGGGGTAGATATCTTGACATCAAGAAAGCGCTTACACGCCAACATATGTACAGTTTTCATTTCATCATTTTGATACAACACCTATACCTCTGATCCATAAAGCAATATTGGGGTTATTTCAATGTTAAATATTCTCGACAACAGTTCATGGCCAAATTAATCTACTTTACATTATGACTTCAAATGTAAAATACAGCTTTTCTTTTTTGCAAAGCTGCATTTTCGAAGCGTCTGGGCCACGGAAGAAATTTCTAGAAAACATAACGCCTAAAAATTTGTAAAAAGATACACACTTGAGTTTAGTCCCTTTATAAAACCATTTCCTGACAAACGCCCCCACCCCTGCCTTCTTGAACACCAAGAACGTTGTATACAAATTAACATCTTATCTAAGATCAATGTAATATTTCTCCAAAACATTCATTCGTTTCTGCAATCCCTCAATACTATCTGCTATAATGATAATATGATCTGCGAATAGCAAAATGAAACAAATGCGTCAAATCAGGGTACAACTGGATACCTTTCCTCAATTTCGAATAATAATTAATAAAAATGGAAAATAAAAAAGGACTTCAAACAAAACACTGACGGACTCCACGGGAACACACACACACACACAAACACACACACGCACGCACGCACGCACGCACGCACGCACACACACACACACTAACACACACACACTAACACACACACACACACACACACACACACACACACACACACACACACACACTAACACACACACTAACACACACACTAACACACACATTTGCATTGAACAGTGTTTTTGGTGTCGTATCCCATACAGGTAGACATTATCAGTCTTTGGATCTAGGCCACGGCCGTCGTCCTAGGCTATAACAGACAACCCCTGGGTACCCCCTCCGTCGCTCTCACTGGGGCGAAGAGGCGTTCGTCCCTCGGCCCCATGGTATCGGCGTTTCGGTGATCCCCGGCGTGTAGTAGTGAATTCTGAATTCATCATTTTCAAGGACATACACGTCGCCATTTATCATTAGTTTTTCATAGGAGAGATAAGCTGCCTTATCGCTTTTACATGCATCCACCACGTGAGGGATAAGCCCCGCCCTTATCTTTCTAACTCTCTCTTCTATGCCATTAACTATTCCTCTTCTTTATCAACAAGAGTTTCCAATTTGGATATTCTTTCTTCAAATTCAACGTTTTCTGACCTCAGCTTAAAAAAATAATGATTGTATCAAACTTTCTATTAAGTTTACCAATTCCCGATCTGATAAGTTTTATACGTGTTGTGGCATCTTCCTGGTAGTGGATTAGAATCGCTGTTCCTCGAGTTAACATCGTGCTGAAGTAGACTATCTAGTTGCCTTACTCCATTCTCTCTTCTATGCCATAAAATTGTTCCTCTTCTTTATCAGCAAGAGTTTTCAATTTGGATATTCTTTCTTCAAGATCAACGTGTTCCGACTTGAACTTAGAACTTAGAACTTGGTTAGAATCGCTGTTCCTCTTGTTAACGTCGTGCTGAAGTAGACTATGCAGTTGCTTTACTTCGGGCACCCCAACTGACACTTCCCCGACCCCGCGGGCCTTGGTTTAACTTCACCTCAGAACATATTTGTAGGAGCCATGGTATCACGAGCTCAAATATTGTTTTCTTATTATTTGATAAACAAATGGATGTTTTGACAATTTATCTTATTAAATGAAATGGGTACAGCGTATTGCATTATGTTGGCACAGTACAAGAGTACATGTTCTCCATCTTATGTGTATACGTAAAATACGTGGCGTCCTATTCGTGCAAAAAATACAAATGGATATTAGATGAAACTGTATACTTGGACAGTCATCGTTTTAAAAATGAAATGTTAATCTACAGTTAATAGCTCAACAGCATATATAATATAATGATGATTATTTACGTGTCATATGAATAATGTTTATGTTATATCTTTCTCCTTACCAACGATCCCTTTTTAATCGATTAAGAATGTTTTCATAGTTTATGATTCATACTGCGCAATTAAATTGCAGAATAAAATAACCACGCATCAACCCTTACAAGTCAACTCTCGCGAATGTATTTTGAGCGATATATTATAGTTAAAAGAATACAGGATATCTAATAAATATCTCCTAATATATGTTTTCATGTGTTTTTATCATACCACATGTAAGTTCAGGAATATGTTCATCCTTCCTTGCAGATTATTCACAAAAGATGTTTTCCACATAACTCAAGTTATTAAGATATCCTTCCTTCAATCATTTCTGTGTTATAATGGCCCTATACCTCGATGTGAAGACATACAGATGGACCATTGAAAAGCAATATTAATTCACCCAGTCCACTTGGAACTCATGAGTTCAACCAACGTTGATGTACACCATATTCATAATTTGTAGTTTATGTTGTACATATATGAAGTAAACAAATGAGGAAAATAAGGAGCAATGTAACACATATTTTATTGAAGTACTCTTGGTTCTACATTAATGCATAGTGATAAAGCTAGAGTTGTATCTTCGGCTTGTGTAAGAAGACTCTCAGTAGTAACCGTACCCCATACCTGAAAGAGAACACATAATACACATGTCAGTGGGATTAAATCAAGATGTGTTCCTTTCATTTAACGTGGGTTCAATTTGGTGTTAATCTATGTTGATGGATTGACGGCTTAACTTAAATGTAACGCCAAACATGATATTAATCAGATAACCTACCAATTCCTTTGCCAAGTCCAATTCCTCCTCCAATTCCACCATACAGTCCTCCCATTCCACCGTACAGTCCTCCCATGCCTCCGTACAGACCTCCCATGCCTCCGTACAGACCTCCCATGCCTCCGTACAGACCTCCCATGCCTCCGTACAGACCTCCCATACCTCCGTACAGGCCTCCCATACCATAGCCGCCATAGCCAAGGCCACCAAGGCCACCAAGGCCACCAAGGCCTCCGTACATGTCCATTCCGTAGCCAATGGGTTTGGCGTAGGTAGCAACAGCCAGACAGGCAACAAGGACGACGATAATCTTCATCATTTTAAATAGCTGTCATAAAGAAATATTTTGAATTAGCGATAATTTTAAACAACCAGGTTAATTTATTTGCAAAACGGTAATTCATCCATACAACCGATTACAAAGGTATTATCAATTCAAATTATTATATATGTATTTTGTTTCTACGTTATTATTTTGTGTTGTTGTTTAACGCCGCATTCAGCAATATTCCAGCTGTATGACGGCTGTCTGTAATAATGGAGTCTGGACCCGACAATCCAGTGATTGACATCATGAGCATCGATCCACTCAATTGGGAAACGATGGCATGCATCAAACAAGTCATCAAGCCCGACCACCCGATCCTGTTAGTCGCCTCAAGCATACTCGCCTTTTACGGCAAGTGTATTCTGCTCCGGATCGTCACGGCGGATAATGCACATATACATTATTTGAATGACTGAGAGGGTAAACATTCACGTGATTCATATATTTATAATACATGTTCATTAATCAGTAATGATATATTGGAAGCTACGCTTGAATGTTTCTTCACCTTATCTCCGAATATGGAACATATGGCGAATATCGAAGCCAAATGTTGTACGCGTGATGGTTCAGGATGTAATAACTTAAATCCATGTTTCAAAAATATTATGTGAACTTTGGCGAACTTTTTGTTGACGAAAAGAGAGTTGACCGTTGTAAAAAAGTTTAACGACCTTAACTTAAATCATGGTTGATGTCACCATATGGATAAGCAAGTGGTATTACTACAACATTTACACAGTGTCAAATACAGATACTCACATTGAGGTACACAGATCGACTATTTGCAAATGCAGGAAAGTTCAGTGATGTGGTCACTCACCACACTCACGTATATATACCTGGTGTATTATGTATTACCTGTGATTGATTAGCCTGGGAATGGCTACTTCCGGGTGGGATCAATGACAAACGTCAATTAACTCTTCCGGAACAAGTAAAGGCGACATAAAATTACCAATAAGCATGTATTTTATCCTTGGGGCTTAAATGTGAGTAGAATTGGGTAACTGTACAAGGAAGAGTGGACATTGCGCCAGCGGGGTTAGACATTCCCGCAATCCCCGGCCTATATAAGAACACAGAAAAAGGCCGTAATCACCAGTTTCGCACAGCTCCATAGTGACAAAGGTTAGTTGACTTGAATTCACATGATTTGTTTAAATTAATGAAGTCGAATTTGTAAATGTATTAAAATGTCAATAAACGAAGGCAAATACTGTTAATTACATTTCTACCGCATGAAATTGAAATCTATTCAAAGATTATTTGTTTTACAATAATCGTATTTCAAATATAATCACTTGATGGTATTAATGTAACGAAATTAAGAAAGTATGTATTTTTTCATGGCAGCTACTGAAAATGATGAAGATTATCGTCGTCCTTGTTGCCTGTCTGGCTGTTGCTGCCTACGCAAAACCCACTGGCTACGGTATTGGCATGTACGGAGGCCTTGGTGGCCTTGGTGGCCTTGGCTATGGTGGCTATGGAATGGGAGGCTTGTACGGAGGCATGGGAGGTCTGTACGGAGGCATGGGAGGCTTTGGCTATGGTGGTCTGGGAGGTCTGTACGGAGGTATGGGTCTTAACGGAGGCTTGGGAGGCCTGTACGGAGGCTTGGGAGGACTGTACGGAGGAATGGGAGGACTGTACGGCGGCATGTACGGAGGAATTGGACTTGGCAAAGGAATTGGTACGTTTGCAATGTAATATAATTATGTTAACATGGCATTAGGAGACATGTATGGTTGCATGAACATTTAATAGACTTGTGTCATTTTTGCATATTGATTTGCTAATTTCAGTAACATATAATCTGTCTGTAGGTTTGGAGATGGGAGGTGAGGTGTAAGGGAGTGGGGGTGGATGGTAGGGGGGTTGGGTGGGGGTGGCTTGAGTTTTGTTCGCAATCTTCTACTCTCAATACATACAATGATTACCGTTGTTGCCTGTCTGACTGTTGCTACCTACGACAAACCCATTGGCTTCGGTTTGGACGTTCACGGAGGCCTTGATGGCCTTGGCTATGGAGGCTAAGGTAAGGGAGGCCTGTATGGAGGAATAGGCCTTTATCGAGGCGTGGGAGGCATGCATTGAGGCATGTGTGTGTGTTGATCTGATGATAGGTAAATTGCGAGGAATGATCCCACTGTATGGTGGAACGGGATATGTGAAGGTAAGGGTCTTTTCTGCATATTGATTTGCTAAATTTGAGTAACATATACAAAGGACATGTATGGCATGCTGGGGTAGTACAGTAACCATGTCACTGACTCTGGCCAGATACAAGTAATATCTCACTCTTTCTAATTTCGCCACAGTTCTATTTAAATAGCGAAACGAAGCGATCATGATGTCAACCAAGCGAAACAAGTATCACAATAACATGCTTACATATGTTCCATTCACATGCCTTTCAGGACTGTTGTCAGATGATCATATTTGAAAATCACTTTTATGGTTTAAGTGTTTCTTTTATATATCATTCCTCCAACATCATATTGACATGAACATCACATTCGAACTCTGCTTCATTGCTGTTGTGGTTTTTGTGTCGTAGCAGTTATGAGCATGTTAGTGAACACTTCAGCCATATAGTGACAACCCAATCTTTCAAGGCACTGTTATGACACATTATTGATTAAATCACATCCATCGATGTACGTCGGTCCTACGACAAGCACGAGGAACTTATAATTGGGAACTAATTTTGACCGGGAATCCCCATCGAATCGAAGGAAAAACAAGCAAGGACTATGAGTTTTGTATTGTTCTTTTTAAACTTGATAAAATACTTCACATTACGGGAGCAATCTACAATACAGGGCTGAACCTTCCTTGCTATCAACGTAGTTATTCCAAGGCGAGTACATGATTTGTTTTGATTAATAGTTGCAATTTACACTATTGTTGGTTAGACAATTGCATACGCATCCCTTTATTTATATAGAATGTATTTTTACTTCAGGTATGGGATACTATTGAGGTTGGTGAGACGGCGCCTCAGATCTGCAACAGTTTCAGCGCTGATCAAACAAACCTCTCAATGCTTCACGGAAGACAAATACTTTCTTCTCGGATCAATAAAGGACATTTCTACAATACTTAATATTTTGTTGTTAGTTTCCAGTGATCCAATCATATAATTGTGACCCTTATTTTGCCTTTTACGCCTAATATAATGTGTTTCAGTAGATAATCGAGAATAATTATCATCTGGCGTTGACGTATTATATGTCATTCAAATCACTCACTGTAAGTTGGAGGCCAAATTGCATATTGTTTGTCTTGATACTGTCCAGCATTAGAGAAATACTTACTTCCTTACCAAGTATCATATCGACACAAATTCTGATCAACGTTTACCATAAACATTTCACCCTTTGCTGTAACTCCTCACGCCAACTGAAGACCCTGGTTTCCATATATGGAATCAGGCCATGGTCACGCGTTGCTCTCATCATACTCTCATTTGGTACCGTTTGGAGCATGCTATGGCAATCCGCTTCATAGCTATATTTTAGGCATGACCTGAATTCAGATTTAAAAGACTTTGTATTGTGAATATACTGCTGTTCCCAAATATACCCGAAACCAAAGCTAAACAGGATATATTTACAATTCGAAATCCAGTTGCTTTTGCCTTTATTAGATGCCTGTAACATCATATTGTCACACTTTTGTGGATAACGGGTGTCAGGCATAGAAATAAGCGTCAGCCCGTAACTAATACATATTGTGTAAGCATAAATAGATACATGTAATGGATGTCGGCCGCACTCTCCACTAACGATGTGGTTAGGGGTAGATATCTTGACATCAAGAAAGCGCTTACACGCCAACATATGTACAGTTTTCATTTCATCATTTTGATACAACACCTATACCTCTGATCCATAAAGCAATATTGGGGTTATTTCCATGTCAAATATTCTCGACAACAGTTCATGGCCAAATTAATCAGCTTTACATTATGACTTCAAATGCAAAATACAGCTTTTCTCTTTTGCAAAGCTGCATTTTCGAAGCGTCTGGGCCACGGAAGAAATTTCTAGAAAACATAACGCCTAAGAATTTGTAAAAAGATACACACTTGAGTTTAGTCCCTTTGTAAAACCATTTCCTGACAAACGCCCCCACCCATGCCTTCTTGAACACCAAGAACGTTGTAACCAAATTAACATCTTATCAAAGATCAATGTAATATTTCTCCAAAACATTCTTTGGATTCTGCAATCCCTCAATACTATCTGCTATTATGATAATATCATCTGCGAATAGCAAAATGAAACAAATGCGTCAAATCAGGGTACAACTGGATACCTTTCCTCAATTTCGAATAATAATTAATAAAAATGGAAAATAAAAAAGGACTTCAAACGAAACACTGACGGACTCCAAGGGAACACACACACACACACACACACACACACACACACACACACACACACACACACACACACACACACACTCTCTCTCTCTCTCTCTCACACACACACTAACACACACACACACTCTCTCTGTCTCTCTGTGTCTCTCTCTCACTCGCTCTCTCTCTCTAACACACACACACACTCTCTCACACACACACACACACACACTCTCTCACACACACACACAGACACAGACACACACAGACACACAGACACACACAGACACACACACACACACACACACACATGTACACACACACACACACACACACACTCACACACACACTCACACACACATTTGCATTGAACAGTGTTTTTGGTGTCGTATCCCTTACAGGTAGACATTTATCAGTCTTTGGATCTAGGCCACGGCTGTCGTCCTAGGCTATAACAGACAACCCCTGGGTACCCCCTCCGTCGCTCTCACTGGGGCGAAGAGGCGTTTGTCCCTCGGCACCATGGTATCGGCGTTTCGGTGATCCCCGGCGTGTAGTAGTGAATTCTGAATTCATCATTTTCAAGGACATACACGTCGCCATTTATCATTAGTTTTTCATAGGAGAGATAAGCTGCCTTATCGCTTTTACATGCATCCACCACGTGAGGGATAAGCCCCGCCCTTATCTTTCTAACTCTCTCTTCTATGCCATTAACTATTCCTCTTCTTTATCAACAAGAGTTTCCAATTTGGATATTCTTTCTTCAAATTCAACGTTTTCCGACCTCAGCTTAAAAAAATAATCATTGTATCAAACTTTCTTTTAAGTTTACCAATGTTTACCAATGTCAGATCTCAAGTTTTAAACGCTCAGAGTCATCTTCCTGGTTGCGGTTAGAATCGCTGTTCCTCTTGTTAACGTCGTGCTGAAGTAGACTATGCAGTTGCCTTACTTCGGGCACCCCAACTGACACTTCCCCGACCCCGCGGGCCTTGGTTTAACTTCACCTCAGAACATACTTGTAGGAGTCATGGTATCACGAGCTCAAATATTGTTTTCGTATTATTTGATAAACAAATGGATGTTGTGACAATTTATCTTATTAAAGGAAATGGGTACAGCGTATTGCATTATGTTGGGCACAGTACAACAGTACATGTTCTCCATTTTATGTGTATACGTAAAATACGTGGTGTCCTATTCGTGCAAAAAATCCAAATGGATATTAGATGAAACTGTATACTTGGACAGTCATCGTTTTAAAAATGAAATGTTAATCTACAGTTAATAACTCAACAGCATATATAATATCATAATGATTATTTACGTGTCATATGAATAATGTTTATGTTATATCTTTCTCCTTACCAACGATCCCTTTTTAATCGATGAAAAAATTTGTCATAGTTTATGATTCATACAGCGCAATTAAATTGCAGAATAAAATAACCACGCATCAACCCTTACAAGTCAACTCTCGCGAATGTATTTTGAGCGATATATTATAGTTAAAAGAATACAGGATATCTAATATATATCTCCTGAAATATGTTTTCATGTGTTTTTATCATACCACATGTAAGTTCAGGAATATGTTCATCCTTCCTGCAGATTATTCACAAAAGATGTTTTCCACACAACTCAAGTTATTAAGATATCCTGCCTTTAATAATTTCTGTGTTATAATGGCCCCATACCTCGATGTGAAGACATACAGATGGACCATTGAAAAGCAATATTAATTCACCCAGTTCACTTGGAACTCATGAGTTTAACCAACGTTGATGTACACCATATTCATCACTTGTAGTTTATGTTGTACATATATGAAGTAAACAGATGAGGAAAATAAGGAGCAATGTAAGATATATTTTATTGAACTACTCTTGGTTCTACATTAATGCATAGTGATAAAGCTAGAGTTGTATCTTCGGCTTGTGTAAGAAGACTCTCAGTAGTAACCGTACCCCATACCTGAAAGAGAACACATAATACACATGTCAGTGGGATTTAATCAAGATGTGTTCCTTTCATTTAACGTGGGTTCAATTAAGTGACACTGTTAATCTATGTTGATGGATTGACGGCTTAACTTAAGTGTAACGCCAAACATGATATTGATAAGATAACCTACCAATTCCTTTGCCAAGTCCAATTCCTCCGCCAATTCCACCATACAGTCCTCCCATTCCACCGTACAGTCCTCCCATGCCTCCGTACAGACCTCCCATGCCTCCGTACAGACCTCCCATGCCTCCGTACAGACCTCCCATGCCTCCGTACAGACCTCCCATACCTCCGTACAGGCCTCCCATACCATAGCCGCCATAGCCAAGGCCACCAAGGCCACCAAGGCCACCAAGGCCTCCGTACATGCCCATTCTGTAGCCAATGGGTTTGGCGTAGGTAGCAACAGCCAGACAGGCAACAAGGACGACGATAATCTTCATCATTTTAAATAGCTGTCATAAAGAAATATTTTGAATTAGCGATACATTTAAACAACCAGGTTAATGTATTTGCAAGACGGTAATTCATCCATACAACCGATTACAAAGGTATTATCAATTCAAATTATTATATATGTATTTTGTTTCTACGTTATTATTTTGTTGTTGTTGTTTAACGCCGCATTCAGCAATATTCCAGCTGTATGACGGCTGTCTGTAATAATGGAGTCTGGACCCGACAATCCAGTGATTGACATCATGAGCATCGGTCCACTCAATTGGGAAACGATGACATGCATCAAACAAGTCATCAAGCCCGACCACCCGATCACGTTAGTCGCCTCAAGCATACTCGCCTTTTACGGCAAGTGTATTCTGCTCCGGATCGTCACGGCGGATAATGCACATATACACTATTTGAATGACTGAGAGGGTAAACATTCACGTGATTCATATATTTATAATACATGTTCATTAATCAGTAATGATATATTGGAAGCTACGCTTGAATGTTTCTTCACCTTATCTCCGAATATGGAACATTTGGCGAATATCGAAGCCAAATGGTGTACGCGTGATGGATAAGCAAGTGGTATTACTACAACATTTACACAGTGTCAAATACAGATACTCACATTGAGGTACACAGATCGACTATTTGCAAATGCAGGAAAGTTCAGTTATGTGGTCACTCACCACACTCACGTATATATACCTGGTGTATTATGTATTACCTGTGATTGATTAGCCTGGGAATGGCTACTTCCAAGTGGGATCAATGACAAACGTCAATTAACTCTTCCTGAACAAGTAAAGGTGACATAAAATTACCAATAAGCATGTATTTTATCCTTGGGGCTTAAATGTGAGTAGTATTGGGTAACTGTACAAGGAAGAGTGGACATTGCGCCAGCGGGGTTAGACATTCCCGCAATCCCAGGCCTATATAAGAACACAGAAAAAGGCCGTAATCACCAGTTTCGCACAGCTCCATAGTGACAAAGGTTAGTTGACTTGAATTCACATGATTTGTTTAAATTAATGAAGTCGAATTTGTAAATGTATTAAAATGTCAATAAACGAAGGCAAATACTGTTAATTACATTTCTACCGCATGAAATTGAAATCTATTCAAAGATTATTTGTTTTATAATAATCGTATTTCAAATAGAATCACTTGATGGTATTTATGTAATGAAATTAAGAAAGTATGTATTCTTTCATGGCAGCTACTGAAAATGATGAAGATTATCGTCGTCCTTGTTGCCTGTCTGGCTGTTGCTGCCTACGCAAAACCCACTGGCTACGGTATTGGCATGTACGGAGGCCTTGGTGGCATTGGTGGCCTTGGCTATGGTGGCTATGGAATGGGAGGCCTGTACGGAGGCATGGGAGGTCTGTACGGAGGCATGGGAGGCTTTGGCTATGGTGGCCTGGGAGGTCTGTACGGAGGTATGGGTCTTTACGGAGGCTTGGGAGGCCTGTATGGAGGAATGGAAGGACTGTACGGCGGCATGTACGGAGGAAAATACGGTGGCATGTACGGAGGAATTGGACTTGGCAACGGAATTGGTACGTTTTCACTTTAATATAATTATGTTAACATGGCATTGAGAAAGATGTATGGTTGCATGAACATTTAATACACTAGCGTCATTTTTGCATATTGATTTGCTAATTTCATTAACATGTAATCTTTCTGTAGGTTTCGGGGTTTGGAGCTGAGGGCTGAGGGTGGGGTGGGTTGGAGTTTTGTCAGCAATCTTCTCTTCTCAAAACATACAATGATTACCGTTGTTCTTGTTGCCTGTCTTATTTTTGCTACCTACAACAAACCCATTGGCCACGGTATGGGCATGTACGGTAGCCATGGGGGCCTCGGTGGCCTTGAAAGCCTTGGCTTTGGAGGCGAAGGTAAGGGAGGCCTGTATGGAGGAATAGGCCCTTCTGAAGGCGTGGGAGGCATGTATTGAGGCATGTATTGAGGCATGTATTGAGGCATGTATTGAGGCATGTATTGAGGCATGTGTTGTGTGTGCTGATCTGATGGTAGGTAAATAGTGAGGAATGTGTGGTAGAACGGGATATGTGAAGGTAAGGGTCATTTCTGCATATTGATGTGCTAAATTTGAGAAACATGTACAAGGAACATGTATGGCATGCCGGGGTAGTACAGTAACGATGTCAATGGCTGGCCAGATACAATTAATATTTCTCTCCTTCTAATTTCGCCACAGTTCTATTCAAATAGAGAAACGAAGCGATCGTGATGTCAACCAGGCGAAATTAGTATCACAATAACATGCTTACATGTGTTCCATTCAAAGGCCTTTCAGGAATGTTGTCAGACGAACATATTTGAAAATCACTTTTATGGTTTAAGTGTTTCTTTTATATATCATTCCTCTATCATGATATTGACATAAATATCACATTCGAACTTTGCTTCATTGCTGTTGTGGCTTTCGGGTCGTAGCAGTTATGAGTCTGTTTTAGTGAACATTTCAGCAATATAGCGGCAATCCAATCTTTCAAGGCACTATTATCAGCAACAGCATTGATACACGAGGTTTGGCTGTTATCACTCATTATTGATTACATCACATCCATCGATGTACGTCGGTCCTAGGTACTTATAATTGGGAGCTATTTTTTCCCTGGAAACCCCGTCGAATAGAAAAAAAAATACAAAGACTATGAGTTTTGTATTGTTCTTTTTAAAACTTGATAAAATACGTTCCCATTATGGGATCAATCTTCAGTACAGGGCTGAACCTTCTTGATATCAACGTAGTTATTTCAAGGCGAGTACATGATTTGTTTTAATTAATAGTTGCAATTTTCAATATTGTTGGTTAGACAATTACATATGCATCCCTTTATTTATATTTAATGTACTTTTTACTTCAGGTATGGGATACTATTGAGGTTGGTGAGACGGCGCCTCAGATCTGCAACAGCTTCAGCGCTGATCAAACAAACGCCTCAATTCATCATGGAAGACAAATATTTTCTTCTCGGATAAATAAAGGACATTTCTACAATGCTTATTATATTGTTGTTAGTTTCGAGTGATCCATTCATATAATTGTGACCCTGATTTTGCCTTTTACACCCAATATAATGTGTTTCAGTAGATAATCGAGAATAATTATTATCTGGCGTTGTCGTTTTATATTTCACCCAAATCACTCACTGTATGTTGGAGGCCAAATTGCATATTGTTTGTCTTGATCTTATCACGTTGAGGTTTACGTGAAAAATGTAAATATCGCAGCAGTCCATGGTCAGGCGTTGCTCTCATAATAGTCTCATTCGGTACCGTTTGGAGCATGCTATGCCAACCCTGTTCATAGGTATATTTTAGGCGTGACATGAATTCAGATCAAAACGATTTTGGATGGATATTGCTGTTCCCAAATATACCCGAAACCAAAGCTAAACAGGATATATTTACAATTCGAAACCAGTTGCTTTTGCCTTCATAAAATGCCTGTTACATCATATTGTAACACTTTTGTGGATAACGGGAGTCAGGATTAGAAATAAGCGTCAGCTCGTAACTGATACATATTGTGTAAGCACAAATAGATACATGTAATGGATATCGGCCACACTCTCCACTAACGATGTGGTTAGGGGTAGATATCTTGACACCAAGAAAGCGCTTACACGTCAACATATGTACAGTTTCCATTTCATCATTTTGATACTACGCCTATACCTCTGATCCATAAAGCAATATTGGGGTTATTTCCATGTCAAATATTCTCGACAACAGTTCATGACCAAGATCATCTACTTTACATTATGTTGGGCACAGTACAACAGTACATGTTCTCCATCTTATGTGTATACGTAAAATACGTGGTGTCCTATTCGTGCAAAAAATCCAAATGGATATTAGATGAAACTGTATACTTGGACAGTCATCGTTTTAAAAATGAAATGTTAATCTACAGTTAATAGCTCAACAGCATATATAATATAATGATGATTGTTTACGTGTGATATGAATAATGTTTATGTTATGCCTTTCTCCTTACCACCAATCCCTTCTGAATCGATTAAGAATGTTTTTATAGTTTATGATTCATACTGTGCAATTAAATTACAGAGTAAAATAACCACGCATCAACCCTTACAAGTCAACTCTCGCGAATGTATTTTGAGCGATATATTATAGTTAAAAGAATACAGGACATCTAATATATATCTCCTTAAATATGTTTTCGTGTGTTTTTATCATACCACATGTAAGTTCAGGAATATGTATATCCTTCCATGCAGATTATTAACAAAATATGTTTTCCACACAACTCAAGTTATTTACATATCCTGCCTTCAATGATATTTGTGTTATAATGGCCCTATGTGAAGACATACCGATGGAGCTTTGAAAAGTAATATTAATTCACCCAGTCAACTTGGAACTCATGAGTTCAACCAACGTTGATGTACGCCATATTCATCACTTGTAGTTTATGTTGTACATATATGAAGTAAACAGATGAGGGAAATAAGAGCAATGTAACACATATTTTATTGAACTACTCTTGGTTCTTCATTAATGGATAGCGATAAAGCTAGAGTTGTATCTTCGGCTTGTGTAAGAAGACTCTCAGTAGTAACCGTACCCCATACCTGAAAGAGAACACATAATACACATGTCAGTAGGTTAAAATCAAGATGTGTACCTTTCATTTATCTTACGTTCAAGTAAGTTTTAATCTAGGTTAATGGTTGCTTAATTTATTGTTATGTCAAGCATGATATTACACAGATAACCTACCAATTCCTTTGCCAAGTCCAATTCCTCCGTACATGCCGCCGTACAGTCCTCCCATTCCTCCGTACAGTCCTCCCATTCCTCCATACAGGCCTCCCAAGCCTCCGTAAAGACCCATACCTCCGTACAGACCTCCCAGTCCACCATAGCCAAAGCCTCCCATGCCTCCGTACAGGCCTCCCATTCCATAGCCGCCATAGCCAAGGCCACCAAGGCCTCCGTACATGCCCATACCGTAGCCAGTGGGTTTAGCGTAGGCAGCAACAGCCAGACAGGCAACAAGGACGACGATAATCTTCATCATTTTCAGTAGCTGCCATGAAGGAATAAACACGTTCATAATCGCAGTAGATTAATATGTAAAACAAATAATATACATACAATTCTATGATTCAACAATACACATGATTCAAAGATCTGTGTACATTAATAAAAAAATATTGCAATTATGTATTCATTCGAAGTTACGCTTGAATGTTTCTTCACATCATAGCCGAATATGATACGAATATTGAAGCAAAGTTTTATACACTTGATCGAACAGGATGGAATCACTTGATACCATGTTTCAAAAATTCCTGTGTGTACTTCGGAGCAATGAAAAAGTAAAGAATGGATTTCATAAATTGGTTGTCACGAGGATAATCGACTTAAACTAACTTTAAACATTGTTAGCATTATCACATAGAGAATCAAATAGAATTACTACCACATGTACACTTATAGAATGCGATATGTATATACTCACATTTAGTTACACAGATCACACAGATCGACTATTTGCGAATGCAGTAAAGTTCAGTGAGGTGGTCACTCATAGTTCTCAGGTTTATATACTTGGTGTGTTTTGTGTTACCTGTGATTGATTTGCCTGGGAATGGCTACTTCCAGGTGGGTTGAATAAACATCAATCAACTCTTCCTGAACAAGTAAAGATGACATAAAATTATCAATTAACATGTGTTTTATCCTAGGGGCTAACATGTCAGTAGTATTGGGTAAGTGTACAAGGAAGTGTGGACATTGCTCCAGTGGGGTTAGACATTCCCACAATCCCCGGCCTATAAAAGCAAACAGAAAAAGGCCTTTATCACAAGTTTCGCACAGCTCCATAGTGACAAAGGTAAGTTGGCTTGTATTTTCATTATTTGTTAAAATTAATGAAGTCGTATTTGTAAATGTATTAAAATGTCAAGAAACAAAGGAACCGAAAGTGATTACGACTAATTTCTGCTGACAACCTCACATTTTGTGATACATTGCAAATACTGTTTATTACATTTCCGTCTCATGAAATTGAAATCTATCTAAACATTACTTGTTTTACAATAATCTTATTTCAAACCGATTCGCTGGAAGGTATTTATGTAATGGGATTAAGAAGTTAAGTATTCTTCTGGCAGCTACTGAAAATGATGAGGATTATCGTCGTCCTTGTTGCCTGTCTGGCTGTTACCACCTACGCCAATCCCACTGGCTACGGTATTGGCATGTACGGAGGCCTTGGTGGCCTTGGCTATGGCGGCTATGGTATTGGAGGCCTGTACGGAGGCATGGGAGGTCTGTACAGAGGTATGGGTCTTTACGGAGGCTTGGGAGGCCTGTACGGAGGAATGGGAGGCCTGTACGGCGGCATGTATGGAGGAAAATACGGCGGCATGTACGGGGGAATTGGATTTGGAAAAGGAATTGGTAAGTTTCGTGAGTACACTGTATGTTGTACACCAGAACCATTGGCTATGTCATGGGCATTTACGTGTGCCTTGTTGACCTTGGCTATGGCAGCTATTGTATGGAATGTCTGTGTGTGGTCACTGGATGTATATACGGAGAAATGAGCCTTTAAAGATGATTGGTAGGCTTGTACGGAGGCATTGTACGACTATATGTTGGCATGTAAGGCATGGATGGACTGTCTGGTTAAATTGGATATAGGCACGGTAAGGTAATTGTGCATTTTAATTTGAGTAACATGAACATATTTATGGATATAGATCCAGATACCAGTGACACGCGAAAGTTATATTTAGTTAGTCACGACGAAAGGATCGTGTTGCAACCAGGTGAAACAAGTATCACAGTCACATGTTTACATTCACATCCAGTTCTGGAATGTAGTCATATCTTGGTGTATGTAATTCTTTATATATCTTTCCCCCATCTTCATATTGTTATTGGGGCGGTCGGGTAGCCTAGTGGTTAAAGCATTCGCTCGTCACGCCGAAGACCCGGGTTCGATTCCCGACATGGGTACAATGTGTAAAGCCCATTTTCTGGTGTCCCCCGCCGTGATATGGCTGGAATATTGCTAAAAGCGGCGTAAAACCATACTCACTCACTCACTCATATTGTTATAGGAATCACATTCAGACTAGGCTCCATGTCTGCCGTTGCTGTCGTGGCAGTTATGAATGAGTTAGTGAATGTTAGTGAAAATTACAACCATTTGACGACAATCCTGTAGTTCAAGGCATCAGCAGCATTATTAATGTAGGAAGTTCGGCTGTTATCAAACATTATTGGCTAGATCACAATAGCCCTTACGACAAACCACGGGGTACTTGCAACTTGGAAATAGTTTTTCCTGGGATAATTCGGATCGAATCGAAAAGTACCGCGCCATTTGTATTGTTACTTTTAATCTTTGATAAAAACCGGGCACATTACGGGATTATTCTACTATATAGGTCTGAACCGTTCTTGATATCACCGTAATTATTCCAAGTCGAGTAAACAATTTCTCTTGAATAGTAGTTGCAATTTACGACATATTGAATAAACACTCTTTTATTTATATCAAATGTGTCTTTTTACTTCAGGCCTTGGATACTATTGAGGTTAGTGAGATGGCGTCTCTCATCTGCAACAGTGTCAGCGCAGATCAAACAACACCTCCACGCATCATGGCCAACAAATACTCACCTCTTGGATAAATAAATCACACTTCTAACATGCTAATTATCTATTTTGTCATTAGTTTTCAGTTTTCCATTTATATAATTTACACCGCTCTTATGCCTTCTACCACCTAAAGAATCTGGTTTGGCAAATAATCGAGGCTGTTTATCCTCTGGCGTTGGCGTCGACCCCTATTACTACTCACTGTTAGTTGCAGTCTAAATTGCATGTTCTTATCAACGTGTACCATAAACATTTTACCTTTGCAAGTAAACGTCGCACCGACTAAAGACATAGTTTTGAATAGACATGCATCAGTGAATCCAAATAAGGTCAAGGTCAAGGGTACATGAAAAGTGTAAAGATCACAGCAGGGAAATGGGTAATAAAAATGTTTATTAGAAACGATTTCGAAACAGACGAAAACATTGACATAAGCGGAGTGTTGAGCTATGAGTCGTGTAGATAGCACATTTTAGTACATTTTCTTCAACAGGTTGGTAGAAATCACGGGTAAACACAAACACAATAAGGTCTTTGAGTAAATAAAAGCGACAAAACCCTTTGCAAAAATATATAAATAAAAGACATATCGCCAAAAGCAGAGTCGATTGTACGATTCGGATTATATCATGATCATGTAATTTATTATGAATCACTATCAAATAGTGATCATACCAGGTGTCACTATTTTAAGTTATGTTAATTTCCAATTTATGGCATGTATTCTGTGAAGTTTACAACTGCTTGACGGGGCACCCTAGTTACGATGAAAACCCAGTACGTTGTATATGCTGCCACAAACCCCTTTCCATAATATTGACTATATCATGAGCATGTGTTTATGAATCACTATTACATTTGGATGATACCAGGTTTTCGCGAAAAGGTGAGCGTATCAGTGGCACCCGTCACAAACACATGAAAAGGCAAGTCAATTTTTCACCTCGAAACAACATAGGGACTTATGGTACACGTCAAAATAGGGAATCGGACATCATTTTGTCACCGATGCGTCGAAATCATCCCCACTATAAAACGTTTCGAAAGCTTTTCTGGGGTATTGAATGGTGTAACCTTGATCAAACAACTTCTGAGCATGAATTGTATGACATTCTCGATTGTACCTCAAAAGTTGTGAAATAAAGACACCAAGGGCTGGCGCTGTAGGAATATTGCTCGACATAAATGGAATGTTGACTATTGTAAAGTTGACGTCATTCCTCTCACAGGACTCCTTTATTTCTAGTTCATGTGGGTAAATCTGTGGAAGGGAATTAACTATTTTATTGTAATTGAACGATGTCAGATCATCGATAAAACGAAACTTCGAATTCAGTTAAACGTCATATGCATGAAGTTGAGCACACTTAGTGCCCATGGGGATGCCAACTTACCAATATTTTACATAGATGCTATCAATGAGGAAGTCCAACACTCCACATGTTGTTTTCTCAATAAAATTCAGATGGCATTTGTTTGCATTTATCACAGATTGCCCTGAAACTCTGAAGATAAATAACTGTAACTGTATCTTGAGTCACCACGGTTTGTAACGGAATCCCCCATGGATCAAGGAATGAAGCTTCCCCTTAAATTTGTAATGTGGAATATTGGTGAAAAAAAAATTGAACAATCAAATGTTTTAACAGAATTCAAATTAAGTTCTTTTGGGAGATTGTTAAAATCAACCAAATCCTTCTGGTTTTTGAGAACCCACATGGTATTAATTCCACGTGTCACAAATACATGCTGTGAGTATAGAGAAACTTCTTCCTTGACCGTATTAAGGTATTGGTTACCCATTGAGACAGGGATTTAGTGGACCAGGTACATATATACGAGGGATCTGTAGAAAGATATTACAATGACAATGGCAATCAGTTTTTGCTCTAAAGGCCCATAAAAAAACCATCTTTACCAATACAATATAATATAAATATGCCCTGGTCACTTATTGTTCCATTTTTCCATGTATCTTGAACATATTATACAATTATACAAATTTTGCAATCAAAAATACCGTTTTCTCATTATTTGATGAACAAATGGATCTTATTTCATGACAATTGATCATATCAGGGGTAAAGTATGTAGAACGTACATCATGTTGGGAACTAACTGTGCAAGAGTACATATTCTTCATATAATATCCATGTGTAAAAAACATGGCTATGGATTTTTCAAACATATTTCATTGTCAAAAGACAAATGGATTGAACACAAGTTTACATGGAGGTCATATATATGTTTCACCGCATAGGTACAATGTGTTAGCTTGCGACGACATTCGTACAATGTTTGACCCTCTCTGTGTGAAGATTCATATTCCATTAAACCAACACGAAGTGATGAACAGTTCTTATACATTTTAGATCACTATTGTATTCCATGAACACCCTTCTTGTTTACACTGACAGTCATACAACGTCCGACTGGATGGCGAAATAAAATAAGTGATATGAGGATACTTATGCTCAAATCCATCTTTTGCATTTAGGTTCCAATAGTGAGTGAGTGAGTGAGTATGGTTTTACGCCGCTTTTAGCAATATTCCAGCAATATCACGGCGGGGGACACCAGAAATGGGCTTCACACATTACTCATGTTGGGAATAGAACCCGGGTCTTCGGCGTGACGAGCGAATGCTTTAACCACTAGGCTACCCGACCGCCCCTTTGGTTCCAATAAATAGATTCAAATACCATCACCATAAATGAGAAAGATTTGTTAAGAACTACCACAGTAAGTCAGTCACCGTGACATCGCGTTGTGATCCATTTACATCAAATACAGGACGTCACACTGGCCTACAAAAGAAACGCGAAAGGTATATTTTTTCATGAACCTGGGGCGATTACAAGTATTAGTCATTACTGATCAATTGACCGATCATTAAAAGGTGATTAAGATTAGGGGGTCTTTATAATCAGAGACAACTCTTCTGTATGTGTTTGTGCTTCACAGGAATGCGCAAGTAAGCCGTTTTCTAATACGAAAGTCATAAATCGTGTCAATGAGACACTACATAAGTGTTATAGCAATTAACACATATCTTTGAAAGAGATAGTTATTCATAATTACTCATATATTCTTTTGGAAAATAGAATGGAGGTTACATAATGCGATATGAATATGTAATTGTTTTGTGTTTGATTGTTGCATACACAATAATTCACCTAAGTTGGTGGTATACAAGGGAGCCGATAGAGGCTCATGTTCACTTCCAACTATAGACTGTATGATGAGGCGGGGACAGTTTTTAGAGGGCAGTCACATTGTAGTGTCTGAATCTTAGTTTTAACTTTCTGTTTCATTATCTGCTCTGTTATTGCGTGTTGACAACTGTGATAAGTGTAAGTGTACCTGTGCGATCTTTGAATCACTCAGAAGCTGACATTTAGCTCAGGTCAGTTAACAGGTGTACATCCTTTTGGTTTGTGTACACGGTGTGTTGGTGTATGAAGAATTGAACCATTAGTGTCTGCGTGGGGGTAACGACAAGGACAATGTTAACGCAATAATGTAAAACTAGATCGAAAAGTAGAAGTATCATGGAAATGATTTCAAACATCAAAATACATCCTTTTGAGATTTACCATCCTCCATGGGAGCTGATTACAGGAATTCGTTCACTCATTACGACAACAACTCCATTTCAGATAAAAAAGCGCATGGCCGTTAAAAGAGGGTGATTCCCAAGGACATGCAGGTTGTTGAGAGAAACTATATTGAAACTTATTAAGCTAATTCATGAAAGCAATTATAAGCAAAACTTATATAGCGAGGGTCTTCATGGAATCACATCAAGCAACACATGAAACAATGGTCAATACACCTTGAAACTATTGAAATCAGTCAGTATCAGTCATACAGCCCCCTAAAACGAAATATTCTAATACAATAACAACATATTTGGAAAAGAAAGCAAAGGCGCGTATCCAAGACTAACACATATATAGTCAGGATATCATCGATACGATTCTAAACTTTGCATCTAAAATGAAAGTTCAATCAGGGTATGCTTAAAAAATATGGTTGGAACTGAAGAATCCTATCACTAAGTCAACATACATTTCCAAATTATTGAGAAATTGCTTATGTTATACCACTGCATCTATTTGAAAAAGGGATCTATCCCATCTAGGAATCTATAGACTCATATGTTTGGTTTCACGTGTTGGGAAAATGAGAACATTATGGATTTCAGTTCGGATTCACAATAAAAGGGTCACAATAAAATTAAACTGATACAACTGTACCAAATATCTCCAAATCAATCAACTGACAAACAAACCATTTGAAGTATTTTGTAGAATATCAAATGGATTTGACAGTCTTTGGCTAGTTGATCTCATTAATAAATAAGAATTCTATGCTTAACACGGTAAACTCGCTTATCACACTTCATTTGCTTATCACACTTCTGAAACCCCCTGTGACGTCATCTATTGTTTTCGATGGTTGAGGTTTTCGGTCACAGAGTCATTACATATAGAAGCAAACGTTTTTGAAGTCATGCTTTCAAAATACCCGAAATTATAATGTGGAATATGTAATAAAATATTATTTTTTTTTGTTCTTGTCAATTTATTATAAGCTGTATGGCAAATTGTGTAACTCTGAAGGATGTCTGAACATATCGCTTTAATTCGTTTCAACAAAATCAGTAAATGAGAGTCACAGCTTCAAGATGTGATGGGATAAATGTCTGACATATATCACATAGCCGACATCCACATTTACTTTTGGTGATCTTTCCGTTCACATTTCACTAATAATTCTTGTCATGAAGTGCATTGTAAATCGACGGATTAAGAAAAACGTTCTGAAATTGTGTAAAGCATTCCACTCATACACTCCACTGTCGGTGTCAAGATCAGACTAACATTAACCCACATCCTCTGGATCCTGTGTAACTTATATTAATATTATAAAAAATGTCGTACATCTGTTTAAATTATATAATGAAATTAACAAGAATACGTTTAACAGGTATTTTATTACAATCGTAGATTATACATCAGTGTATAATACAGGGAGCTGTTCATTGAAGGCACGACTCTCAGTAGTAACCGTATCCCATACCTAAAAGAGACAACAAAATACGCAATTATAAGATAGCAACACACTTGAGTACACTAAAGTACTTCTGCCTAAGGAGTTTCTCCCAAAACACAAATTGTCTGATAAAAGTCTGACAGAAGCCGTTATTTAGAGATAAAAAGTGTTTGGTTTCGCTTTTCAAACAAGGACATTGCATGTATTGAGAGAAGAAAATATTCTGTCGCTAATCGTACCCCTCCCATCGCAACCCCTTCACAAATGTTACATGTTACTAGAATCAGCAAAATCAATATGCCACAATCATAATATACACAGACAACTTACCAATTCCTTTGCCGAGTCCAATTCCTCCGTACATGCCACCGTACAGTCCTCCCATTCCTCCGTACAGGCCTCCCAAGCCTCCGTAAAGACCCATACCTCCGTGCAGACCTCCCATGCCTCCGTACAGACCTCCCATGCCTCCGTACAGGCCTCCCATGCCACCATACAGGCCTCCCATACCGAAGCCGCCATAGCCAAGGCCACCAAGGCCACCAAGGCCACCAAGGCCTCCGTACATGCCCATACCGTTGCCAATGGGTTTGGCGTAGGCAGAAACAGCCAGACAGGCAACAAGGACGACGATAATCTTCATCATTTTCAGTAGCTGTCAATAAAATACGAAATAGGTTTTGCGATAGCAATAGACTTGCTGCATGTTGTTATTGAATTTGAAAAATAATGTTAAACGTGGATGTACACCTTAAACATATATGACCAAAGTGATGTTCCGTGTAGTTGATAATTTAGAATGTAAGAAATAAAACAAAAATGTTTTATCATTTACTGTGAACCCTTAGTTGGTGTAAAGATTAAGGTTAAACATAAAGAGTTATTCGATTAAACGATTTTAGAAATAGATATGGTGTATCGACGAATCAGTTATTGATTGGGTAAAACGGTTGGTCCTCACAGGTGAAATATTTACGAGGGATGCGGAGACCAAGTAGCCTATAATGGCAGACTAATAAGTGTTATTCACGTTGGTACTCACAGTTAGGTGTACGGAGCGACTAGGTTGTCAATGCAGAGACGTTCAGTGAAGTTTACGCTCTTAACATTCACGTTTATATACGCGGCGTGTTATGTGTAACCTGTGATTGATTTGCCTGGGAATGGCTACTTCCGGGTGAGATCAAGGGCACACACCAATTAACACACCCTGAACATGAACAGGTGACATAACATCACCGATGAGCATGTGTTTTATCCATATGCTTAGGGCTTAAATGTGAGAAGTATTGGATAACTGTACAAGGAAGTGTGGAAAGTGCACCAGTGAGGACGTCCCCACAACCCCGGCCATAATAAACACATTATATAAGTCTAACGACATATTAATGATCAACCTGAAAGTCGCCAAGACGATGGGACTTGAATTTGTACCATTTTGTTAAAAGAAAACAAATGTAAACGTAGTTCTAACTGTAGCAGTACACCATGGGCAGGTTCAGAGATGAATTACCACTTTTAACAATTTGTTCACATTTTGAAACTACCAACTACGCCTTTGAGCCAGATAATAGAAATACAAAACATTAATAACACGGTCTATTTAAGGAGGAATCTTACCGACTTTAAAACCTGCATATTACCGTCAAATGAAAACAAAATTTATTTTGTTTGTTCATGAACGGCTCTACAAAATGATTACTAGATATTGGCAGTCTTTTGCTATCAAATATATAAAAAAATCGTTCCGGAGGAATGGGACTTATGTTCGGAGGCATGGGAGGTATGTACGTCGGCATAGGAGGTCTATATAGAGGCATAGAATTATGTACATATGCATATGGGTATGTACAGATGCATGGGAAATATATACAAAACATGGGAGGTATGTGCATAGGGATGTGGGGACCATACACAGGCATGGGGGGTCCATATAGAAGCATGGGAGGCATGATCAGAAACTGACCAGACCAAGTGTTACTCAACCCTTCTCAGGCATAAGTGTTCTTTAGACTGTCATAGAAACTGACCAGGTCAAGTGTATCTCCACCCTGCTCACGTGTAAGTATTCTATAGAATGGCATAGAAACTGACCAGGTCAAGTGTTACACAACCCTTCTCAGACATAAGTGTTCTTTAGACTGTCATAGAAACTGACCAGGTCAAGTATATCTCAACCCTGCTCACGTGTAAGTGTTCAATAGAATGGCATAGAAACTGACTCAGTCAAGTGTAACTTCACCCTGCTCACGTGTAAGTGTTCTATAGAATGGCATAGAAACTGACTAAGTCAAGTGTGACTTCACCCTGCTCATGTGTAAGTCTTCTATAGAATGGCATAGAAACTGACAAAGACAAATGTAACTTCACCCTGCTCACGTGTAAGTGTTCTATAGAATAACATAGAAACTGACTAAGTCAAGCGTAATTTCACCCTTCTCAGGCATAAGTGTTCTTTAGACTGTCATAGAAACTGACCAGGTCAAGTATAACTCCAGCCTGCTCACGTGTAAGTGTTCTATAAAACGGCATAGAAACTGACTAAGTCAAGTGTAACTTCACCCTGCTCACGTGTAAGTGTTCTATAGAATAACATAGAAACTGACCAGGTCAAGTGTAACTTCACCCTGCTCACGTGTAAGTGTTCTATAGAATACCATAGAAACTGACTAAATCAAGTTTAACTTCACCCTGCTCACGTGTAAGTGTTCTATAGAATAACATAGAAACTGACCAGGTCAAGTGTAACTTCACCCTGCTCACGTGTAAGTCTTCTTTCGACTGTCATAGAAACTGACCAGGTCAAGTGTAACGTCACCCTGCTCATGTGTAAGTGTTCTATATGCTTACATAGAAAGTGACCAGGTCAAGTATAACTTCACCCTTCTCACGTGTAAGTGTTCTATAGACTGACATAGAAACTGACCAAGTCAAGTGTAACTCCACCCTTCTCAGGCGTAAGGGGTCTATAGAAACACAGGAGTGCACACACACCGAGCCGACATAAATTAATCTGCCTATTCGTACATCTACCATGTCACCTACAGACATTGCATGGTATCACAGAGCACACTGACTACCTATGTGGAGGTCAAATATATCAACATTTGCATTACAGAAACACATTACAGGAAATAATACCAAAGATCAACATGTAATACAACTACAAATACTGTAGTATACAACTACTTTCTTCACCTGACAAACAACGTCACAACCTTTAGAATTAAAGATAAGTCAGTATCATACATATTTATTATGAGGTCTGTGCATTTAAGCTAAGAAGACCTAACAGGAAGCTGACATTAATAGTGCTTTACTCTGATCCCGGACGAAACCGTTAGATTCTGTCTGATTCCTGATTACAATACATAATCTGCTCTCTCACAGCATCGGCAGACGAAACTCGTCCACCAGGAGGACATTTTCGAATTGAACAGTTGGCCATTGGAATGGATACAAGTAATTCTACTTTGTGCTTATAACTGTGGCATGTCAAAATCAAACTATACATTTTGGCGTTTTCCAATACCATGCACTGAAATGAAATATCATTTACAATTAGACCCTCAAGATCGTTAACGGTACCGTACTAATGAGTTTATGGTGTCCTGTTTTAATTTAATTTTCCACTTTTTTAAATGTACGATAAACTCATTACTACGGTTCCAGTGACGATCTTTAGAACTACAGAGATATAATCCAACCTAGTTTTATTTAGTGTAAGCCTAACTGATTGGTATGCATGGGGGTACAAAAAGTATCAAAGGATGAGGTTCTTGTCATCAAGAATCTGGAGATAAATTCTGAATCTCAGAGTAAGAGCACTCTATGGAATCTGTTGTTTAATGTGCACCAGATCTTAGTTGTAACGGTGAAGGTGAGGTGAAATGGGGTTTAACGTCGCGTCCAAGATTATTGCACATATATAGCGACGTGCATGTACGTGTGTGTGTTTGTGTGGGTGCTTGTACAAGTCCGGACTGATGCCGATTTTTAGTGCTAGCTCACTGAGAACCATGCCGCAGTTTAACATGAATACCCCACTCAGACACAGTATACTGACTCCGAGCCGACCAGTCCTTGTTTTAGCCCCTTAATGCCGAGCGCCAGACAGGGTAACAACAAGTACCATCTTTTTACGTCTTTTGGTATGACGCGGCCGGGGATCGAACCCCGGATTTTCCGCTCTCCGGGCGAACGCTCTATCACTAGACCATGGAGGCGGTCTAGTTGAAACGGCATGTGAGTGAAGTACAATGTAAATGTATCTTTTTCGAGCTAAATGGTGGGTATGTATATGATTGTAAATAGAATAAAGAACCAAATAATCAGTGCTCTCTCTATATATTCATATATAGATGTCTGGCGATGGGAACCGTCAAAATAATGTGAATGTTTTGTTTTACAGAAAGCGTTCAACATGCATTGAATAATAGTGTCAAAATCTCAAACAGGGCACTCGGTTATGTCAACGTAGGTCTCTTTTTATGCATGTTTTAGTTTATGACGGGGGTTATAATCACATTTAGATAATATGAAGTGCAACAAAATGGTCCTATGCATTCTATGCAAAGTGCTAAGATTGTCGGATGTCGGATCTTGTGAGTTCTCTTCACCAATAAAATATTTCTTTCTGACCACTGATGCACCGTGCCTGGCTCTTACTGTACTGTACGCCGTGATATAACTGGAATACTGTTAAAAGCGGCGTTAAACCCAACTCACTCACTCACGCACTCACTACTGTACTGTAAATTCAGATGATTTATGCAGTACCTTGTACCGTGACTGCAACTGATGTACACTCATTAAATGTTTAAAATACCTGAGATCAGATGTACAAAAACATCAACATCCATATGCAACACCAGCTACGTCACATTTCAATCATATATGTTATATCAGTTCGCGAAAAGGTAAGCGTATCCTGCCCCATCGGTGGCACCCGTAACAAACACAGGCAAAGGCAAGTCAATTGTTCAACAGAAAAAAATATGGTCAAAATAGGGAATTGCATCGAACATTATTTTTGTAACTGATGCATCCAGTTCATCCTTTTTTCAGTGTCCAGCATTCATGTTTTGTTTTATTCACTGCTCAATTATTCGTGCAAGTTCCTGTAAAAAAACGTAAACACGACACCGCAATATAACATGTATGAGACAAGTCGTGTTATAACGGATTTAAAAAGTGATTTGACGAGACGAGACAAGACGTTAAAATAGGTGGGAAATGAGCACATTCATCCGTCTTGTAATGCACATTATCACATACCCTGTTTTCATCTGTAATACATAGGGACTAGACCTAGATTATCTGTGTACAATGTAATATAACGTAATGTAATTCATGATTTAGAAAGCTCGTTGCACAGACTTGATTATCACATATCGTTTCATTGTTATAAACGACCCCCTAATTTAAACGGGGGCACGGGTGGCACAGTCGTCTAAGGCGCCAGAATGCGCCGTGAGCTGATAGTGGTTCGAATCCTGGTTCGCCCTGATGATGTTTCTAGGTTTGTCAGCATCATAACCGAATTCGTTGGCTTCACCAAAGTGGTTTATTGTCAGATATCTGCATCACTTCGGGTTTCCTCACACACTAAGCTGATAAAACTTGAATACTGTTCGAAGTGGTGTTAAACCCAATCCCCACTAAATATATAATGATGTCAACGCATATATCATAGAATAAGCGGTAATAGGAGGATAGATATGAACGAGTATTAACTCAGACCTACGTTTTCTGCCATATTGCTGTTTAAAGGGTTTGAGGTCAGCAGCAATCTAATCAGGAGGATATCACGTGTTGGCGAGCAAGTCCAAGGAGAAAGAAAATTGCTCCGAGACAAGTTGTTTGATAGGTATCAGCTTCCATCTTGCCGGGGAGGACGCGGAAGACTCAGCCAAGACGGATGCTGGCAGGTACTGGCTTGATCCACCAGTCTGTTGCGTGGACGAATGTTAACATGGTGAATCTATAATAAACATCTGCCCAATGCAGAATCCGTTGTTCAAATTCCAAACACGTCATCAGAACGTGTTTATAAATCACTATCAAATATCTTGACATCAGATATTCGC